TTAATAATGTATGATCAGGTGTTCTTTACAGTATGTGGAAAAACACACAGGCATTATCTGGTGAGCTGTACAAGTCTGAAAGACAATGTTAAAGACAAACAAAATCTAAATATAGAACTTCAAGATCTCATGACAAAAGAAATCTCCCCATTTCCCTTTAATGGTATAAGTTCATATTTCAGATGCAGAAAAAATAAAAGGTTGTGATATTAAAACTATGTAAAATTATGCACATGAACAAACTGGAATGGAAATTAGATGAGAATTATTTGTTCATATGGAAAGATGTAATTTTTCCCTTGTTATTGTTTCTTTTGTTAGTATTATAACGTCATAACATAGAACCAAAAGAATATTCCTGACAAGAGCATATGCATTAGTTAATACAGAATAAGGATCTGATGCTTAACATTAAAATAAGTTTTCCAAATCCATGTATAATTTAGCAAAAAGACTGAAATATCTTACTACCATAATAAATGTTAAATAATAAACCAACCAGCCACCTTAACACTAAACATTCCTGAGTACAAACACTGACTCACATGAACAACTTCATGGAATGCCAGAGACATCTTGCATTAAAAAAAGTGAAACCTGTCAGAACCAGAACTCAATGGGACTGCCTGGTTTCTTCAGTGTCCTAAGTTTTCCACTTTTGATAGGGTGCTGTGTTGTTGTTAAGTGCTATCAAGTCAATTCCAACTCATAGTGACCCAGTATAGGGTTTTGAAAGAGTGGTGAGTAAGTTTGAACCACCAATTTTGTGGTTAGCACTCCAGTGCTTATCTACACCACCACACCAGGGCTCTGACAGGGTGCTTACTGCTCTCTATTAAGAATGCTACACCTCATTTTAAAGGAGCTCTGGTAGCTTAATGGTTACAAATCGAGCTGTGAACCACAAGGACAGCAGTTGGAAACTCCCAGCTGTTCCGCAGGAGAAAGATGAGGCATTCTGCTCCCGTAAAGATTTACATCCTCGGCCACCACCACCACATCTCATTTCAGTTTTGAGTTTTCCTTCTCTGACAGGTTTCTGCCTTCCAGGAACTCTGGCTTTCACAAGCTTTACTTTTTTTTATATCCAGATTTCATGTTTTCCTCAAAAGAGTGCTAATATGATTCCAAATACCATTCTTTACAGTAAAAGTGTAATTACAGCAAACCAGTCTCATTTGTGAAGAATGATTTCAATGGTTGCTGCCTGCACTAGTAATGAGCCAAAGAATCATTAGGACTAGAAGTTTACCATGGGTCATTGTTATCTCTGGTAGCGTAGTGGTTAACGAATTGGGCTGCGAAACTTAAGGTCAGCAGTTCGAAACTACCAGCCCAGCAGTTCCGTGGGAGAAAGATGAGCATTCTGCTCCCATAAAGGTTTACAGCCTCGGAAACTCTGTACAGGGTTGCTATAAACCGGAACCAACTCCACAGCACATAACCACTACCACCATTACTTAATATAAGGAGCTCTGATAGCGTTAAAGGTTATGAGTAGAGTTGCTAATCACGAGGTCAGCAGATCCAATCTACCAGGTGCTCCAGATGCTCTGTGGGAGAAAGATGAGGTTTTTCTGCCCCATAAAGATTTACAGCCTTGGAAACCCTATACAGGGTTGCTATGGAACCAACTCTATGACACATAACCACCACCACCATTACTTAATATACTAATTTCCCCAAAAGTAATAGGTATTCAAAGGAGCTCTGGTAGAGTAGTGGTTATGAACCTGGCTGCTAATCTCACGTTCAGCAGTTCAAAACTATCAGCTGTTCTGCGGGAGAAAGATGAGGCTTTCTGCTCCCATAAAGATTTACAGCCTCGGAAACCCTGTACAGGGTTGCTATGAGTCGATACCGACTCCATGGCACATAACAACAACAACATATAGTTGTTCAAGGGGACGCAGTGGCTCTGGATGATAAGTTCTGGACTATGAACAACAAGTTCCGTGGTTTGAGCCCACCAGCAGCTTCATAAGAGAGAAAAATGAGGCTGTCTGCTCTGGAGAAGATTTAAAGCCTTAGAAATCCTATACACAGGTCACTATGAATTGACGGCACTTAATAACAACAATAGCTGTTCAAAGTAATATTTTTTTAAATTACTAGAAATATGGTCTTGTTAACATTTTTAAACAAACACTAGGTAGCAATTTAAAAATCACTATCTTCAGAGATTTATGTAAACAAGTACTTTAGGACAAAATTGGAAACAGGACCAATTTTAATATCTGTGCTAAGCACTTTTAAAATATTTTAAAGCAAAAAAAAAGTTCATGTGCATGTCAGGAAATCTAAGAATAGGTAAGAGATGGCACTAATTGAATAAAAAAGACATTTTTCACCAAAAATTATATACTTCTATTTATAAGGTGAAATTCCTGGGTGGTGCAAATGGTTAATGTGTTAACTGCTAACCAAAAGCTTGGAGGTTTGAGTCCAGCCACAGCTGCCCTGAAAGAAAGGTCTGGTGATCTACTTATGAAAAACCAGCCATTAAAAACACTATGAAGCACAATTTTCTATTAAGACATACAGGGGGTCACCATGAGTTGAAAATGACTTAACAACAACTGGTTTATTTATAAAGAAATGGAATCTTCATGTAAACTTTAATTTTTAAATGAGTTCAAACCAAGAAATATCTACCACCCATACTACAGCTAACGGAGTCCTGGTGTGGCACTATGGGTTAATGCACCAGACTGCAAAGCTGTTTGAACTGCAAGGTCAGTGGTTCAAACTCACCAGCTGCTCCTCAGAAATCCTATACAGGGTGGCTATGGGTCGGAACTGACTCAACAGCACTTCACAACAACAACAACATACCACAGCTAAATTACTCTGAGCATCCCTTGAAACTCTACCACTGACAATTATTACAACAGTATTCTATAAATAAATAGTACAGTGGTGGTGGTGGTTATGTGCCGTGGAGTCGGCACATAACCCTGTACAGGGTTTCTGAGGCTGTAAATCTTTACGGGAGCAGAAAGCTTCATCTTTCTCCAACGGAACAGCTGGTAGTTTCGAACTGCTGACTTTGCGGTTCACAGCCCAATTCGTAACCACTACGCTACCAGAGTACAGTCCTTCCCCTAAAAAATGAAAAAGACGGGGAGAAGGGGTAAAAAAGGAAAGGATTCTCAAATATGACAAGTCTTTGTGTGGTAGTTTGGTAGCTGTCTCTTTTTTGTACTGACATTTCTATGCTTTCTGTGAAAGAAAATTCTAAGAATGTGCTGAAATCGCCCTTTCAAAACCAAATCCCAGATACAGACATGTTGTTTTATTTGGCTTGTTTTTTCTTTTATCATTGTGATGGTAATCAACTTAAGGTTTATTAAACTTATAAAGATGCCACATATTTAGCAGAAGCTTTTGAAATCATTCAGTTTACTCAAGTGGCTGGTGAGCTTGAACCGCTGACCTTGTGGTTCAATGCGACCCTGCGGTCCAGCACATTAACCCACAGTGCCACACCAGGACTCCTAGAATTGGGTAAACAGCAGGGGCAGGAGCAGAAACCAACTAAAATAAGAAAAAAGGTAGCTCAAAGCATGTGTCAACTAGTCAGACTGCACATCTTAATACATATAAGGTGGTGGCGGTAGTGGTAGTGTGCCACTGAGTTGGTGAACTTGTATATCATTACAGGAGCAGAAAGTGTCATCTTTCTCCAGCAGCTCGTAGATTTGAACCACTAATCTTACAGTTAGCAGTCCAGGGCATAACCCACTAGTTACCAGGACTCCTTGATACATACCAGAGAGCAAAGAAAAGGAAAACTAGAACACCTCCTACAACTTCCACATAGATACAAAACAACACTTGATTACATTCAAAGAAGCTTCGTAGACAACTTAGAAAATGATTCAGATACTTACAAAGGATTCAAGTTAGTTAAGAGTCTGTCAATTGCCAAGTCATATCCTGGGATTTTCCTACTGCTCCCAATAACATGTAACACAGAAGGTAGGTGCTTTCAAATATATTATCTCATTTAAACTATCTTGCCCTAGTGTTGCTGCCACTAAGCAGCAAAGCCAAAAGCTCACCTCCTTTTCTGACAACCAGTTCTTCCCACTCCATCAGACTGTCTAAAGACCTAAAACGTACTATGCCTATCTGCTTTCTTTACCCTCCCTACAGAATCAAGAGAACGTTTGAAAGATACAATTTCACAAGAATCTTGGCACTGAAACTATTTATTGTTGAGAGATGACGAATATGACTTGAAGCACACACACAAAAATCTTAAATCAGAAAAAGAGGAAGAGAAGGCATCCCTTCCCGCCTCCCCCCCCAACCCAAATCAAAGTATTTACAACTCCTTATCGCTGTTCAGGTTAAAGGAATATAAAAGGAAAACAGAGGAGGGTCTTTTGCTCTCCAGAGCTTTCTCAGAAGTGTAGACCAAATCCTCTTCCATTATTCCTGCCACAAAAGTACAGTTGGGGCATGGGGGTGGGGGCATCGGCCGGAGTCCTGGGGCTCGGGTCCGGACTGTCCCAGGCTGGCAGGAAGGAGTGAGGACCTTAGGGGCGGGGGCCGCTCTGACAGCTGGTGAGGAAAGAGTTGAGGAGGGAGGGACCAGGCGAAGGACAGAGAGTGAGGGAAAGAGGAAGCGAGCCCAGGGCGAAGGACAAGGGCGCCCTCCTGGAAGGGCAGGGGGGAGGCGAGAGGGCGAAAGGTCGCCAGAGGCGGGGCCGATCGGCGGAAGGGGCAGCGAGCAGGGCGGCCGGGCCCGGGACGTGGAGCCCCGCGGCGGCCCGGACCCAGTGGCAGGACGAGGGGAGGGGCGTCCCACGATGGGGCCCGCGCGGGCGGGGGAGAGCTGAGGACGAAGTTTCGGGGTACCCAGGCCGCCCTCTCCCCACGACGCGGACTTCAGGGGCGGGGCCGGACGGACCCCACACGGCGGCTGAGGGGAAGAACGCGCCAGGCACCTGCCGCCTCCGGCGCGGTTGGTCCCGGGAGGGCTCGGCTCTCACCTCTTCGGTTCATGGGCCGGATCCGGACCGCCACTTTCACTTTGGAGTCTCCCATCTTCGCAGCCGCTGAGGTTCTCGCTCGGCTTCAATCTGCCGCGGCCACAGTGCAACTCTTCTGAGCTGACCGGGCGGGAGGGGGCTGCGAGTTGGAGGGGTAAGGAGGGCGGGACCGATGTGGGGCGGGGCCTGTCGTTGGGGGGGCGGGGATAGGGCGGGGCCGCTCGCGCCGCTCTCCTACAGCATGACGGGACTTGTAGTCCTTAAGGATTGTTATGGGCAGTGTTGGGGCGGATACGCTCCTGCGGGAAAACGTGGAGCGCGCTTCGCTCTCTGGAACTTGTAGTCAACAGTTAGGACTTTTGTAAATGCCTCTCTTCCACACCGTTCTTCGCAGTTAATGTTGAGATATAAATTGTCAGTGCGCTAATACCACACCTGAAAACAGTTGAATAGATGACATTGGAGACTCTGTTAAACGTCTTCAAACTCACCTTTTGCCAATCTTAAATTACTGTTGTTGCTGTTAACTGCCGTCTAGTCGGTTCTGACCCATAGCGACCCTGTATAGGGTTTCCGAGGAGCGACTGGTGAACTTGAGCCGCCGAACTTGTCGTTCAAACGACTTTGCAGTCCAGCTCATTAATCCACAGGCCACTCTAGGCACAAACTAATTCCTCAACCTGAATTGTCCTCCCACCCTTTTTTGCTAAACACATCCTTTAAGACAAGTCAAAAACCACCTCTTGTGGAAAAGGTCACAAAATCACAGATAAGCCTAGGTTTCCCTCTTTGAGTCATAGACCTCGGGCTATGGAACCGACTTCAGTTCAAATCCCACCTGACCTATGTGAAGAAGCTGGCAAGTTATTTGACTTCTCTGCGCATGTCTTTACATACGTAAAGTAGAGATAATAATCAACTAAACCAGACAATAATAAACCAAACCCATTGCCCTTGAGTCGTTTATGGCTCATGGCAATCCCATAAAAAACAACAAGACTCTCAACTGCCATCGAATAAATTCCCCACTCAAAGAGGCACTATGGAGTCCTGATGTGGTGCTGTGGGTTAACGCGCTGGACTACAAAGTCGGTTCGAACTGCAAGGACGCAGTTCAAACTCACCACCTGTTCCTCAGAAACCCTATACAGGGTCGCTTTGGGTCGGAACCGACTCGACGGCACTTAACAATACAGCAGTAACTCTCTAAGCCAGAATAGAACTGCTTTCTTGGGTTTCTGAGATCGTAAAACTTTAGGGGAGCAAAGCAGCTGGTGGTTTCCAACCCCCTTTTGGCTAGCAACTGAGCACTTAACCATTGCGCCGCCAAGGTTCCTAAGCAACAATAATTGTTGTTGTTAAGCACCGTCGGGGTCGGTGCTGACCCCAGGTACAACAGGTTGAAAATGCACTTGAGTTGTTGCTACTGTGCCAATCCCTCTTTTTTCTGCTATCCCTCCACTTTATCAAGCATGATGTCCTTCTCCAGGGACTGGTCCCTCCTCATATGTCCCAAGTATGAGAGAGATAATAATAGTGCCTACTTAATATGATTGCTGTGACACATGGAAAGCTCTTGTAAAACTACCTGGCACATAGAAAATGTTAAATAAATGTTAGTCACTACTATTACTTTTGTTCTGTTATAGCATTTATACGACAAATGTTTACATGTCTCTCCTATCATGTATTTTTTAACCATATCTTATTTATTGTGTATCTGCTAGCACTTAGATTAATTCCTGGCATGTAGAAGAGCATTTATTGCATGAGTGAATTAATGAATGAATGAATACATGAAGCCACATTGAAATGAGCTCTTTATTAAGTCTTTGACAGTGTAGGCTTAATCTAACCTACAAACATATTCTGTTTGGACTAACTATAATAGCCAACACATCAAAATTAAAAGATTTATATATGAAATACTAGGCCTACATTCAGCCTGGGGATAGAATATCAGCAGCCATTAGAAGAGACAAATGTCTCCATTTCATCATAGACCCTAAACAGCCTGCATTACCACTCAACCCCTGTTACCTCTAAGAATGTAATCCTACTTTGTTGTTGTTGTCAAGACACATTAAAATGCTAATACAGAACTCAGAACCATTTTACAGATGAGTAAATATGAGTCGGAATCAATTAAACAACAAACATCAAATACAGATTTGCCCTTTTACCTTGTTGTTGTTGTTGTTGTTATGTGCCGTGGAGTCGGAACCGACTCATAGCGACCCTGTACAGGGTTTCCGAGGGTGTAAATCTTTACGGGAGTAGAAAGCCTCATCTTTCTCCCGCGGAGCAGCTGGTAGTTTCGAACTGCTGACCTTGCGGTTCACAGCCCGAGTCGTAACCACTACGCTACCAGAGCTCCTTCTGTGCTATTATTCAAAGAGCTTCAGTACAAGAAGAGTTATTAAAAAGAGAACATGCTACTTCAGAAGACTTTTTTTTTCCTTCTTTTTTAAAAAGGGGTGGTTTCTTTGGGATACTAAGGTTCAAGGGAGCCTTCTCAGCAGAAGCAGCAGTAGGGTTAATATAGGAAAGCCAGGCCTTTTGATTTTCACAGACCAATAAAATAAAAAAATAGGAGAAACTATTTAGGGTTGGCAGTTTTTAAATTCTATAAGCACTGGACTGCAAGGTCGGTTTGAGCTGTAAGTTCGGTGGTTCAAATCCACCAACTGCTCCTTGGAAACTCTATAGAGGGTTGCTATAACTCAGAACCGACTTGAAGACACTAAACAACAACAACAGCATATACATCGAAATAATTTAACTCACTACTGTCCTTCCTTTTTTAAAAAAAATCTTTTTGCTCCTATTGAAGAAGCTTCTGCCGTGGCCCCAGGACTTATTACCAGAGTTGAATACTCTGGTCTGAAACTTATTTCCTAATTACTATCTAACTGCATTTGGATTGTAACAAATATTGCTTTGGAATGTGCCGGGATTCCTAGGTGTCCATTCTTCACTTTATATCTCTTTTATAACCCAGTAAATTTTGTTTCGAAAAGGCATGCTCTAATGATAGCTTGACAGCTTGAATTTAGCAAAGACTGCTGTGTGCTGTTGAGTTGGTTCGAACTCGTAGTGACCCTTTATAGGGTTTCTGAGGCTATAAATCTTTATGGGAGCAAAAAGCCTCATCTTTTTTCCACTGAAGCAACTGGTGGATTTGAACTGCTGGCCTTGCAATTAGTAACACAACACATAACCCACTATGCCACCAGAGCTCCTTAAACAGAGGTTGTTGTTAAGTGCCATCGAGTCAGTTCTGACTCATAGCAACCCTGTATAGGGTTTCCTAGGAGCCACTGGCAGACTTGAACCTCTGACCTTGGTCCTGCAGAAAATGTGAAGACTGTTGCTCTTCTTTGAGAACTATTGTATTTAAATGTAAACTCAATTTTAAGTAAGAAGAAATCGCTTAATGGAGTTGAAGGACTGGGGCTATAACAAGAAAGAGGGAAGAGTCTTTCTAAAGTTCCAAAACTGTTTAAATGGAACATTTTGATTGGGAGAAAAAGATACCTTCACAAGGAACAGTAGCACAAAAACCCTTTAGGCTATTCTCCATTTTGACTTCTACTCACACTAATCTCTCTTTTAATTGTTACTGAACAGGTGAGGAAAGAGGTTTCTTAGAGTAAAGAGCCCAAACTGGAAATGTCTTTATTTTCTCATGGAAAATCTTCCTCTGAGAAGTGAGAAGGGACTGAGATGCGAGTTACAACCTGCAACCCTGGAGCTTCGGGGGCTTTTACACCATGTGAAACTGAAGACTGGAGAACTTCCTTGTCAACAAGCTGGGAGTTTTGACACAGGCTTCAACAAGTGAGATGGAAAAGTCAAGGGTTTCTCTCTTTTCAACTATTAAAGGAAAAAGAGAAAATAACTAGTAAATAAGGCACTCATGCCTGTGTCATCACTAAGTGGAATGGTGGGGGAGTTTGCAGTCTGCACTGGGTGACACTGTCAGATGGAGTGACACCAGAATGACTATTTATAAAGATGTGTGTACTATTTCAACAGAAATGTATTACTTCTTATAAAGAAGTTCCTTTAATTTATATACTTATAGCAACAAAAACATTTTTCATACATCCAGTTTGTTGTTGTGTTATTTACGTACCATGGAGTCAGTTCTGATTCGTAAAAACCCCATGCACAGCATAACAAAACACTGCACACCATCCTCACAATTATTGTTATGTTTGAGTCCATTGTTGCTCCCTGTGTGTCAATCATTCTTGTTTAGGGTCTTCCTCTTTTTCACATGATGTACTTCTCCAAAGAGCTGATCCTTACTAACAATATGCTCAAAGTGTTTAAGATAGTCTCACCATCCTCGCTTCTGAGGTACATTCTGGTTGTACTTCTTCCAACACAGATTTGTTTGTTCTTTTGGCAGTTCATGGTAATTTGAATATTCTTCACTAACACCATAATTCAAATGCTTCAATTTTCCTGGTCTTCCATATTCATTGTGGAATTTTCACATGCATATGTTGTTGCTAAGTGCCATATAAATACCTTGACTAGGGTTAGCCACACTTTAGGCCGCAAACTGATATCTTTGCTCTTGAACACTATAAAGAGGTCTTTTTGTAGCAGACTTGCCTAGTACAATATACACCATTTGATTTCTTGACTGCTGCTTCCATGAATGTTAATTGTGGATCCAAGCAAAATGAAATGTTTGACAACTTCAGTCTTTTCTCTGTTTATCATGATGTTATTTATTAGTGCAGTTGTGAAGATTTTCATTTTCTTTACATTGAAGAAGGAGCCCTGGTGGTACTGTTGGATGAACACAAGACTGCTAACTGCAAAATTGGTAGTTCAAAACCACCAGCCACTCTGAGGGAAAAAGATGAAACTTTCTGCTCCCTTAAAGATTTAGACTCAGAAACCTTATACAGGGTCGCTGAGTGGGAATCAACTTGATGGCAGTGGATTTGATTTTTGTGGCTTATATTGAGGTACAATCCATATTGTAGGCTGTAGTCTTTGATCTTCATCAGTATTTCAAGTCCTCTTCGTTTCCAACAAGCAAGGTTATATTATCTGCATATTGCAGGTTGTTAATAAGACTTCATCCAATCCTGAT